TTTAAGCGCAAAAATTTCTACAAGGAAAATTTTAAAGTTGTAGAGCCTGTAGAGTATGTGTTGGATGAAAAAAATAAAAGAACATTTCAGTATGTTCCAGTTTTAAAGGTTTTACAGCAGCTTTTCAGTGATTGCCACCTTCTTGCTAAGGTTTTGGATGGTAGTCGCATAACAGAACAAAGTGGGGAAGAAGTGATTTACAGGTCTTTTAGGGAGGGGTTGTTTTTCAAAGAAAACAGTTTTTTATCAGCAGGTGAATTGCGAGTTTTACTGAATTTGTATATTGACGATTTTGAGATTTGCAATCCACTTGGCACTTCCCGTAAAAAGCACAAAATCTGTGCCATATATTGGACTCTTAGCAATTTACCACCTGCTTGCCATTCATCACTGACTTCCATTTATCTGGCTTTACTCTGCAAGTCTGAAGATGTAAAGACATATGGATATGAAAAGATTCTAGAGCCCTTGTTGAGTGATCTTGTTACTTTGGAAAGTCAAGGGATTTTTATTGCACATCTTGGAGAATTTGTCAGGGGCACAATACAGTGTGTCATAGCAGATAATTTAGGAGCACACAGTATTTCTGGATTTATTGAGAGTTTTTCAGGTGAATACTTTTGCAGATTTTGTGAGGCCAAAAGATCTGATATTCAAGAAACAGAGGTTAGTTCAGGTGTGTTTACTCTGAGAAGCAAAGAGACACATGAAATGCATGTAAGTTCTGCACAGAGTAATGCAAAACCATGTCACGGTGTTAAAAGACGGTGTGTTTTCTCTGCACATCTCTCCCATTTCAGTGTTTGCAGTGGATATCCTCCAGATATTGCATATGACATATTTGAGGGCATATTACCAGTTGAGTTGGCATACTGCCTAAATATCTTAATTTTGAAAAAATATTTTACACTTGACAGCCTCAATGAGTCCATTCTGACATTTCCCTACAAATGGGCAGACAAGAGTAATCGCCCTCATGCTATTCCCAGGACTTTCATGCAGAACAAAAGCATTGGAGGAAATGCTCATGAAAATTGGAGTCTCTTACGATTCCTTCCATTGTTTGTAGGACACTTGGTACCTCCAGATGAAACAGCTTGGCAGGTAATTTTGGACCTAAAGGACATTGTTGAACTAGTTGTTGCACCAGTACACACAGAACAATCAATTGCTTTCCTTGAGTCTAGAGTCTCTGACCACAGATGTAGGTTGAAAGAGCTGTTTCCAGGACTGAAGCTGTTACCAAAACATCATTTTGTGGAGCATTATCCACAGATGATTAAATTCTTTGGGCCACTTGTTGGCATGTGGACCATGAGGTTCGAGGCAAAGCACAGTTTTTTCAAACAGGTTGTTCGTCACACACGGTGCTTTAAAAATGTGCTACTGTCACTGGCAGTGAAACATCAGTTCATGATGGCATACCACTTGGAGTCTGTCACAACTGTAAGGCCGAGCCTAACTGTCTCAGCTGTTTCTACTGTCTCTGTTGACATTCTGCATCATGATGTACAGCGAGACTTGAAGATTAAATTCCCTGATATTACCCATATTCAGCTCACAAAGAATGCTTCTGTGAATGGAACAAACTACAGGCCTGGCATGATTGTAGTTTATGGCTCCTCTGCTGGATTGCCTGAATTTGCAGAAGTTGTCCAAATGGTTGTTGTGGAGGAAAACCTGAGCTTCATTGTCAAAGAGATGGGTGCCTGGTATAGGGAGCATTTTAGAGGTTTTGAACTTTTTCCCACATCACACATCTCCCTCGTTGATCTTGGTGCCTTGGTAGACCAGTACCCCTTGGCAGATTACAGGATTGGAGGCCGGCGAATGGTCATACTTAAAAGATTCATTCATATAGAAGGTAGTAAATGTTGTCTTCAATTGCATGTGTTCAGTTGCAGTCAGTTTATCTTCATGGCAACAGGAGGGGTACCACAAATGTTTAGCTTATTTTTAATAAAGATTGGATACTTCCCACAAGGGTAATATTTTTTTTTCCATTACATTTGAGTTCTTTTGGCCAAACATGCCTCATGTTGTCATGTGTCTTAAAAAAACATCATTGATGATGCTCAAAACATTTTGATAAAGGATGAATTGCAACACATACCACTAAAAGCAAAGTGACACTTTTTGAGGATTGTGGCTGACGTATGCAAAAAACCCAGTAGGAAGCTATAGAATAAAATTAAATAAACTGCATTTTACCCGTAAAACCTGTGTTGCAGTTCTGCACTCTTGTGCTCCCTAATAAAATTATTCAATGCAAAGTATTTTAACTTTTTTTTTTCTCCTAATGTCTTTAAAAATCAGATTGAAGAATGGCAGAGCAGCTGAAGTTGAGTCATCGTGGCAGATGATGATTTTAGGAGACTTGACGTTCCATCTGGGATGCCAAGAACTTTGACTGATCTTCAGAGCACAATTTGCCAAGCATTTGGAATTGAAAGAGACTTTCGTATTCAATTCATGGATCCTGACTTCAATAATGAGTTTATGAACATAACATCAATGCAAGACATTCTAAAGCATAGCCACTGCAGCGCGTCTGGGCTTGGGGGTGGTGCATCAATGCAAGACATTCAAGACCGAAGTACAATCAAACTTGTGTACATGGCAAATCTGGATACAAGTGCATCTTTGTCAAAGCAGTATCCCACATGCAGTCTTGACTCCTCTGCAAGTCCAGAAAGTATTCAAAGAAACTCCAGTCTCTCATCGTCTTCATCCAACTCAGACAGCACCATAATTCTACCACAGTCAGACAGTGAGCTGAGATCATGTGCATGGCCTCGCGAGTTTACTATTCCTCGATTTTCATTCAATGTAGAGGTGCAACTTCAGCGTGGAAATGAGACCTTCAGAGAAACTGGAACTCGGCTCAAGATTACTCCAGGTGTTAAATCTGACATCTTAGAGACGCTAGCTGAGGCGATTTTTCAGTTTACTGCTTATCCTCAAAATTACCAAATAGATGAAGTTGCAGGGGCACTGATCAAAAAATTTCCTTGTCTGCGAGAGCCATCTGCCACAGGTTACTATGGCTGGATGATTAGCCTGAAATATAAGATGGCTAATTACAGGACAAAGATGCGCAACATTGGCTGTCCTGAAGTGACTATAAATGCTTTGAAAAACAAATCCAGTGATGATTGCCTCCCAGCCAAAAATGTTAAGAAACCTAAAAAGGCTGACTTATTACGTCCTCGCGCAGAATCCACAAAAGGAAAGAATAATTAATAGGAAAACATGGCATCTCAGAATCAACAAGGTCTTGAAGCGGGTTTCAATTATATATTTGTGGTTATATACCATAAACAGGCACAGCAATCTGATTTGGTGCTGGTTAACAGCCGGGATTGTACAGTCTAGAAAACATCAGGGTGCAGAGCGACATTTCTCCTTGGTTTAGCCGACCTATTTCCAGTGGATCGACTGCTGGATTGAGGACGAAAACGTGTGGTCTTCGACCTGTCTTGGAAGATGGGTCTAAGAGAACAACCTCTTTTGGTCTGAGAAGAATGTGCAAACGAACATTTGTGGCCTACTTGGAAACGATAGAACAAGAGGTGTGTCTGAGGAGGGTAAGAACTCCATTGCGAACTGCTGCAGGATTTAGCTAGGTGGCCTGCCACCCATTTTCTCATAGTTTATTTATACATTTATATGGACAACAAAGTATTGAATTCATCACAGTGTCTTATAATCATATGACTTTTTTTTTTTGTTCATCACATTTTTAATTTACATTTGTTTAGCACATGCTTTTAACAATCTGAGGCTAACTAAAAATTAATAGCTAAATGAAAGGTTTTAGGTTAATTCACAATTGATAATCTGATTTCACTCTATTAATTATTGAGATGATTAATCAATCATTTCAATAATCAAACTCACTATAAAATAGTTTGGGCCCTATATGTAGTGCAAACTTACTTAAACAATCAAATATTTTTTATTTATAAGAAAAATCAAAAATTTATTTTATTCATGTTTCTACACTTTAAGTCACTTGTGTTTTTCATACACAACTTGTATTTTAAGTGCTGCTCAAATAAATACTCTGTACGGTACACAGGTCAATCACTATAAATGCCAGCCTCTTTATACCTATATTAGGGATCGTCTTAATCCAAGTGGCCCAGATTAATTAATGTATAACATAAGGAATTACTGATCCTTGTTGTACTTCGTATACTATAGTGGGAGGATTATCTTTACGTCTTAAATCACCCAAGTATGTTTTGTGCAGTGTTCTTTTCAGTAATTCCTTATGTTATACATTAATTAATCTGGGCCACTTGGATTAAGACGATCCCTAATATAGGTATAAAGAGGCTGGCATTTATAGTGATTGACCTGTGTACCGTACAGAGTATTTATTTGAGCAGCACTTAAAATACAAGTTGTGTATGAAAAACACAAGTGACTTAAAGTGTAGAAACATGAATAAAATAAATTTTTGATTTTTCTTATAAATAAAAAATATTTGATTGTTTAAGTAAGTTTGCACTACATATAGGGCCCAAACTATTTTATAGTGAGTTTGATTATTGAAATGATTGATTAATCATCTCAATAATTAATAGAGTGAAATCAGATTATCAATTGTGAATTAACCTAAAACCTTTCATTTAGCTATTAATTTTTAGTTAGCCTCAGATTGTTAAAAGCATGTGCTAAACAAATGTTGCAATAAGATAAAAAAATAAATGGGTCAAGTTAAAACCCTGAGTTTTTCTAGTACGTTGTGGTCATCCGGTTTCGCCAGCTAGGCTGGAACAAGTAAATGGGCTACATATAGAATTTTTTGGTGACCCTTCAGTCCACTTTAGGTTTATACGACTTTAAACATTTTAAGACGGATAGGAACAACAATCGACTGGGAGTTTGCAATGTTTCATTTTTTTAACAAAGCACACCTGCTTAAAGTAAAACCGTTTTCCTTCACTCTCCACCACACAAGACCAAAGATCTTGCCGCGGATTCTGCTTTGTTGCTCATAAGATAAAAAAATAAATGGGTCAAGTTAAAACCCCTAAGACCTCTCACCACCAAGAGGTGCTGACCTCACAGGTGAGACACTCCCACCAGCGGACAAAGAGCACAGGAAAATGTGTTGCCAACCACCTGAAACAGACAAATATCTGCTTTTTAAAACCCTTTAAACCCGCTAAATGGACTGATGCCATTAATTTCTTCTTTGATTAACAGTAGTAACATCCTTTATGCACTGTATACTAACCCATATGCTAATCATGCTTTATGAAGTGATGGCAATTACATTGTAGCATTTAATGAAGAAATAACAAAATAACCATACCAATGATTAAGCACCAGTCTTCTTTTTTTTTTTTTTTTTTTTCTCTGTGTGTGTGATACAGGTAAATGCTGAATTCCAGCGTATTACAACACTTCAACTGGAGACGACCTTCGCGGCACAGTTAGACAGAATTACACCTCAGCTGATGACAGTTTTCCAGAAGAAGGGCGGTGTTTCTGGGCAGAAACTTGCCCACCACTTGCAGATCATGCAAGAGGTAAATCTGAATATTGCAAATTCTATTTGGATTTAATTTGTCTTAAGTGGCAAGTCACTGGTGAGTCAAATAAGCCATTTTAGGTGACCGGCCAAGCAATCTAAATTTTGAAATTTTCATATATAAATTTTATTTACTATGTTTGAACTGACTTGTGATAAAATTTACTTATTGCGAATGTCAGACATTGTTCTTTTTTCCAAATTGGTTTAATCAGCAACTCTCTTTAAACAGGCTGAAAGTGATGTTAAAGTGAAAAGGGAAGCAGTTCTCAGGGCACTTTGCCTCTACCTTGGTGAAGAGGACGGAAGCCTTATTCGGGAGTACTTGGTAAGTCATTGTTAGCAAGTCATCTATACACACACTTCTTAGATATTTACACACACACAAACGACTAGATTGGAATTTAATTGTAGAGTTAATTGTTTTTATTTTACCTTTTTATTAAATGTTTAGGACATTGAAGGAGATGACATCCAGAGAGGCCTAAAGAAGCACACCATGGGCATTTATGTCATCAACAAGGAGGATGGACAAAATGGACATTATGATGACATTGGAATATTTGTTGAAGGGGAGATAGTCATGGACAACATTGGATCTCCGGCCCAAGCTTGTGCATTGATGCTTGGAGTAATCTATGCATTGAATGAAATCAAACACGCAAGAGGGGAATAGTGAAACTTAGTCCGAGAGGGAGGAAAGGCCATGCAACATGATCTCAAGCTCACTGTCTGACTGTGGTCTAGAATATGGATGAGCTGCCTATAGAAGTTATTGGACCATTATGAATATAGGTTATAGGACAGAGAGAGACTGGAAGTTTATTTGCTTTTGGTGAAGGATAGATGACAGATTTTATGCTCGGATGCAGAGGAAAGTCAAGACTGCCAGACATGGACAACTTTGAACCTGACAAATACTACCGGCCCAATTGCACTGTCTTATTCGCTAGGCATTGCGATCATTGCGTTAGCGAGCAAGTTTGATTGACTCGGTCAGTGAATGGAACTATCGACTTTAAGAACACTAGCCGCACCTCACCACCCCCACACGGAATTGAAGCCCCAGACGCGCGGTCGACCTATTATGATATGGCCCATTCAGCTCAAAGCTCATTCCAAAAAGAGACTACAGTTTGTAGGGGGATTTTAAGGTTGTCGATTAAACCAAATGATTAGTTGGAAAAGCTAGTCTCACCATCCAGCTCCTTGAGTTGGACTGAGTAAATACGAAACATTACTCACAAATTACTGCCAATAAGCTCTTGCGATAAGGAATATGTTTCGTCATACACGACAACAGATAATTTCATAGGTCATTAGTAGTATGTAACTGCATCCCGAATACCAATGGATCTGAGATCTTCATGAGTCTTTCCCTTAAGAAATTCCATTCACTGTGCTTCACATAACGGGAGTTTGAAATTGACTCTTCAACTTTTCAAAGTCATGTCTCTTGCCATTCTTTCAAATAACCATCATTTGACGTTTCTTCACAAAGTTCTAGTCCGTATAATGTTTTGAGAAGAGACAAAAAAAAAGTGTGGTAAAACATTATATCAACCTTTCATTCAATTGGAATAAGTAAATGAATTGCACATGTGATTTGTGTAGAAGCGCATATCAATTAGTAGGCATATTAGCAAGTGGCAAAACACACACTGTACCGTGGTAAATTATTAGATAACTGCAGAGTTAATTAATTTTAATCTATATGTCTATCCCGAAGCCCTAACTGTTTGTTTTCTTTTATTTTCACACTCGAGCCTCAATCCTTTTCAAAAAGTGTCACTGTGGCTCCTTGATAGAGGGGTGTACGGTTGAGCAAGTTCATCCTTGATCAAAACTTTGTGCTGGCTATAGCACTCAACAGCTCTATCAAGTGAAGCAACTTCTTTTCTGAGTTAATTTCAGTCCTGACAAACATCACTCTCAGTGCCTTTTGATCTCACATTTTTGGCAACCACTGAGTTATTCTCCTCCACAGTTTTCAACCATTATTTGTTTCTGCACAAAAGACGTTGTGCAACGCCAATCCTACTTATTTATTTCCTACTGCACCCTGACTGTGCAGGTGCGTTCAGAAGCCCCCTCCCCCGCCCGACTATTCCTTAATGCCAATGTTGTGGCGGGAGGGACGATTTCTCAATTTAAAACTGCAGGCGACTACAGTGAACTTTACAGCTAACTACAACAGAGAAATTGCCTCGTTCCATAATTTGTTAGTACAACGTGTGCCACCAGAACTAAGCTAAAAACATGACAATTTAACGTAGCAGTTTTAAATTACTCTTTTAATAGAGCAGTAGCTAATAGAGCACATAGCTAGCTTAGGTCAAATCATGACAAAGTTCAGAGGCGTACAACTACTTAGACTTCTTTCTCCATGTGCACACGTCTTAAAGAGTCAACATGCTTTGACTGAGGTAAAAAAAATAAAACAAAAACAACCGGAAAAGGTCTACTTACCAAAGCTAGTCCACCTTTACACGAAGTTGTGTGATTAACTTGAGCCCGCTTGCAGCACACAAAACGTCTGCTTTCAGTCCGCGCGCAAAATGGTGGCCTGTCCTAACGCATGCGCAAAATGGCCCAGCAGGACAAGAGGACCTGGCTGCAGCCACTGTGGCAGCAGGAGGCTATGAAAAACATACTTAAGCATTTTGAGCTACATTTAATTAACTAAAATTAATTGGATTAAAACGCAGGGAATGTATTCTGGAGTTACTCGAATTATATATGTAGACAGGAATTACTCATTTGAATTAAAAAGATATACCAAAATAAAAATATGCCATATCTAAAAGGAGCCAATATCACTTTTTTCAGTGTACCACCTGAACCACAGTCACCCCAAACACTGAAACTTTTTATTTTTCATTAACCACCCTTTAACCACATAATCCTAACCAAACAGGTACACATACACAAATACTCAACACATCATGTGTCTTTTGTGTTTCTCAGAAAAGCAGAGCTCAGAAAGCAGAGCGAACGAAGAGACCCAGGACGGTGGAGCTGGTTGTTGTGGTTGACCATAGAGAGGTTTGAGCTCACTTTTTCTTTTGCCTAGTCACGAGTAAGACACTTTTTGAGGTGTAAGATCTTCTTTTGTTCATGGCATGTTGTTAAATGTGATACTAAGTGAAATAATGGTTTCTTTCAGTATAAGAAGTTTGGCAGTAAGAAGACAATAGAGGCCAGAGCGCTTGAAATAGCAAACCACGTGGACAAAGTACGTTTGTGTCTTGGCACTGTTTCTGTGTTTTCGTGTCCCACACGTCTTCAAGCTTTACTTTCACTTTGGATTTCACGCAAGAAATGTGTCCTGATACTTTGTTCTTTACTGACTGGAATCTGACCAGTAAAAGGAAGGAGAAGGTTTTTTTTTTCTCACTGTGAAAAATCTAACTTTAACTGTGAATCTTCACACCTTAACTGAAAATTTTCACACATATCCCACAATTCTCTTTGCATACTCCCAATGTGTATGCATCATCTTGCAGCACTAGACCCAACATTAGTTTCCTGTTGCACATTTATAAAATCTGCTGCTTGAAGCATTTTGTGGTTTTGCAAATGCTGGTTTTAACTGATTTCGCTCACCGCGCTGCTCTGTTTCAGCTCTATCGCCCTGTGGGCGTTCGTGTGATGCTCGTCGGCCTGGATATCTGGTCATACAGAGATCAAATACATGTCAGCACTGACCCTGAGGTCACCCTCCGTCGTTTCCTTGAGTGGCGTCAGCAGCACCTTCTGCCGAGGACCAAACATGACAATGCGCAGTTCATAACGTAAGATGTTCGTCTTTCTACTGCTTACTAAACCTATCTAAAAAATGATGAGATAATTTGTAAACATTTTGCCTCATCACCTTTCAGAGCTGTGGATTTTGATGGCTCCACTGTAGGCTTAGCAAACACCAATGCTATGTGCACCTCTAACTCTGGAGCTGTCAATGAGGTAGTCATGTTTCAATGTGGATTTCTTTAATTAAAAGTGGAAAGATGTGGAAATTAAATGTTTGTGAATTAAATGTCGCACAGGACCATAACACTAATGCAATTGGAGTGGCTTCCACCATTGCACATGAGATGGGTCACAACCTGGGCTTGTCCCACGACACTGAAGACTGTGTCTGTGGCACTTCTGTGTCAAAAAAAGGCTGCATCATGTCAGAGAGCGTTGGGTAAGCTCAGCTTTGCACCTGTGCAAATGAACACCCTCCTATGTGCAGACCTTCGAAGGAAAAACATCTGATATGGTCTTATTATCGTCCACCTCCTCTAGCTTAAAGTATCCGGAGCTGTTCAGCAGCTGCAGTCGGCAGCAGCTCAGCAAGTTCTTGGAGGAGATCAACCCGGCATGTCTGCTCAATACTCCTTCCACCGATCGAGTTTATGGGGGCCCCATGTGTGGAAATGCCTTCTTAGAGCCTGGAGAGGAGTGCGACTGCGGCACGGTGGAGGTTTGTGCATATCACGTTCGTTTTGTATAGCCAAACTCCCATTACTGAAACACACAATGATGACTGAGATGTGCATGCCTCTGTATGCCTGCCAGGAATGCAAGAATCCCTGCTGCAATGCCACCACCTGCAAACTGAATGCAGGAGCCCAGTGTGGAGAGGGAGAGTGCTGCCACAACTGCCAAGTAAGTACTACTCACTGTGTGAAGTCACACTGATACTAATTATGTTACTATATAACAAGACACAGTCTGACTGTGCCGTCTGGCTGGTTATGTGTGAGTGCGTGTATTTTAGTAGTCGGTACATCACCATCTGTGTTCCTCTCCGCTCCGTAGCTGAAACCGACAGGCAGCGTCTGCCGACCGAAAGCAGGAGACTGCGACCTGGCAGAATATTGCACCGGCTTCTCTGCTGTCTGTCCGACTGACGCCTACACCCAGAATGGCCTGCTGTGTAACCATGGAACAGGGTACTGCTACAATGGACAGTGTCCTTCACGCCGGGATCACTGCAAGAGGCTTTGGGGACCAGGTTAAGAAACTAGTGAATCACAGTTTGCTTCAGATGTGCTTTATTCTTAATAATCAAGACTCATCAAGCTGTATTTTTTGCTGTGATTGTTTTCAGATGCTGAAGTCGCTTCAGACGCTTGTTTCTATCTGCATGGAAACTGCAGAAAGACACACTTTAACCAGAGATGCCCAGGCCGGTATGCAATCCAAAGCTCTACAATTGCACATATTGGTACTGTTTGTTCTTGAAACCATCCCTTGTGGTTTTCGGTTACAGAGATCAGTCCTGTGGTCAACTTTTTTGTTCCGGCGGATGGGAGTTCCCTGTGACATCCAGGAAGTCCCTTTACAAAGTAGGAAACGGAGACATGTGCAATGTGGCAACTATGAACCCTGAAGATAACTACCCCGAAGATTTGGACATGGTACCTACTGGCACTAAGTGCGGCAAAAACATGGTGAGAAAGCTGCTCTTTGTAGCTAAAATGAAGAAAACATCCATGCGCTACAGATTCCTGCAAAGTCTTTGTGTGTCCTTTAGGTATGTTACAATCAACAGTGTCAAGACATAAAAAACATAAAAATGTATGGAAGAAATGACTGCTCTGCCAAATGCAACAACCGTGGGGTGAGAACTTTAGATCCTCGGCACTCTAAAGCACTGTGGATTTATGGCAGCACAACATGCGTACTATGAGTGGGATCTCTTACAGGTCTGCAATCATGAGAGCAAGTGTCACTGCGATCCTGGCTGGGCTCCACCTTTCTGTGATGTGCAGCAGTCCGAGCTGCCTCAAGGTACTCTACTATCCTGACATACACCCACTGATAGCCCGCTTCTCCCTGCCCTTTTAATAACCATGATTTACACATGACCCTTATGCTCTGTTTTCCACTGAGCTGCAATACTTGGATTGAATTTCTCATGGGCCTTAAAACAATCGTGCTCTGTTCTGATGAATACAAGCAGACACTGATGCAGTGGCATTTCCTTATTAGTGTGTACATACGCCCTAATTATGTTACAGAGGAGTTTGCTTCCTGAGGGGGGTGACGTATGTTGTTATTTGCTCATCCTTGGGCAAAAAAAATCTCATTGGCCTAATCTGTTGTGTTATTGTGTGTGTGTACAGAGTCAGGCCTGGTTAAGTTCATAGTGTCACTGGTGGCTGGCTTACTTCTTCTTTTGCTCATGGTTATCGGGAGTTTGATGTGGTACGTCAGAAAGAGACAGCCTGCGAAGAGGTACAGAAAGGAGCTCCTCCTCTCTTTTAGCTTTTGGATCACCACAATAAGTAAATAAAACTTTATAAGCTTGTCAGAGTTTCTTTTAAGCAATTGTGCATATTTCCTTGCAGATACCTCCCATCTTCCGCGGGACAGTTCAACCCGTTGTTTCGGTCGAGCAGCGAACGACGCAGGCCTCCTCTTGGATCAGCACAAATCAGCCAGCCTAAATTTTTGGAGTCGTCGGCCACTCAAGCATGTAAACCGCTCTTCTCTGCTCCTACCAGACCACAGACTGGAGCACTAAAGCCCAGCCGAGCAGCTCCAGAGGTGAGCACCTTCTGTGATGTAGCAGATTTGCCACCAGAGTGCCGTAATGTGCTGTGGCAGTAGATTTTGGCCTGTGTTATTGGACCAAATTCAAATCATAAACAGACTTGTATTTTAGTCAAACTGTCAAAAACCAGTGAGGAATAAGGCTTAAAAAATAAAATTTTAGACTGTACTCATTTCTATTTTCTCCCTTTACAGCCGCCCAAGAAAGCAGCAGCCGTACCCCAGCCATCTGTGTTTCAGCAGGTAATCTGACCTCCGGTTCCAGCTTCATTTAAATGTTATTTATATGTTTCAACTAGTAAATAAATGTTTTTATTTAGGCTATAAAGCCATTCACGCAGGCTCCAGCTGTTTCAAGAAAGCCAATCTTTACTGAGGTAAAACTGCATGTCTTCATTGTCTTTTGGGGCAGTAATTATTTTTAAAAATTGTTATTTTAGTATCATTATTCTGGTCTTATATATATACTTTTTTTTCTCTTTTTTTTCAGAGTAAGCCACTGCCTCCATCGAGACCTCTGCCACCACTCACAACAAAGCCGGTAAATAACGTTCAAACTGAACTCATTATTTGCGTATACACATTTAACAGTGCTTGCGTTTGCTGCTTCTTTAAAACATGAACTGTTTTGTCTCTCAGATCATGAAACCAAAGCCCCCAATGCCTCCAGCGAAGCCAAAGCCCTCCGCAGTCCTGTCTTCATTGCCTCACACTCAGCTGGTATGTATTCAGACTCAGACATTCTCAGAGGCTATCACGTTTATGAAGATGTCTGTGGTTTTTGGCTCTGTCCTAGCATAGCAGTGTAATGAACAAGCAGTCAGTGAATCAGTAAGCATATAAACTTCTCCTGACCACCAGTGAGTTGGTGAGGCACTAACATGGGGAAATAAACACACCAAGACCAAGTTTGGAGAATAAAAATGTCTCATCCCAAGTATGTGTGCTAATACTATTTATCTGCTCCCCTAGCTCGGCGGGAGGGCTGCCCTGATGCCTCCCAGCAGGCCCAGATGACAGTGGGACTAATTCATCGAGGTGTAAACACTGAAATCCTCTGACAGGGGACATTGTTTTTGTCTCACCTAGAAGGACCAAGAAGATCCTGTCTGGAGACGCTCTTCTGTTTTAAAGTAGAAACAGGATCCGCTGAAGAATCGGCATTGTTAAGCAACACAGCTTTTGTGGTCTCCTTGAGGATTACCACTGCTTATGTACACCTTCAGTATGTTAATGAAAACCTGAAGTAATGATCAGCAGACTCATATTCTGTGCTTTATGAATGACAAATGGCACTGCTGCCATGACGATTGTTTAGTTTATTTGAGTCTTTTTAAAGGGAAACATTTGGTTTTTGGGTTTGTTTGTTTTTTGCCTAAATCCTGGGATATGTGAAGATTTTATAAGGTAACTGCACTATCAATGCTGTAACTGTTCCTTTTCCCTTTTCCCTCACATTTTTTTTGGTACTGCATTTCTCTGAAATATGGTTGTTAAGGGATTTTAAAATGTGGCATGAGCACTTTACAGGTAGATTTTTTTAATTGAAGAAGGTCTTTTCTTGTCATTTTTTAAAAACTCTTTGTACTGACCTGTCTATGCTTGACTGTGCAACTGAACCAGTACATATATCTGTTTTATTTTGCGTGCTGACCTGATAGATGTCAAAGGATATTGATTATTCTATGCAGCAGACAAGATCACAAAGTCCTTTCACTCATAATACCAATGATGAGGATTCACCCTCGATTTGTCTTTAAATCTTTCAGTTCTGAATGTTCTAATTTATTGGCTTGCAATAAACGTGATCCATCACACTCAGTGTTTCTGTCACTTTCTCTGTCTTTATATCCAGATGATCCAGAAGATATTCACATTAACATCTGTGACTCTCTGTTGATTTTTTTGCTCTGTCCTATCAGCAGCGTAATGTTAGAACAAAACTCAATTAGATCTATAATTGGTTGGGGAAAAAAAGATTGATTTTGTAGTTTTTCCCTGCAAAACCTGATTCAACATGTGAATGGAGTCCAGACTTTCAGCTTTAATTCAAAGGGATTTTTAATAAACCATTGCATTAACTCTTTCAGTTATAGTAATTTTTATATAGTTCCCCATTTTCAGAGTCTAAAGAGACATTGATTGCCTTCAGCTAAAAGCCTAAACAAACCTATCAGGGAGATTTAAAAAAAAATGAAAAAAGTCAAATTTGATACATGAAAAGGGTGAATGCACTCATCAACTCAGCCACACCAACAGGGCTGAAATACCACAGAAGAGAATTAAGGTGCATGATGACATAATTATTCCATGGTCATGAAAAGAAAACCTCCAAGAACTTGACTTCAAAAGATGGCAAACACTCTTGAGGAGGTGTATCATTGTCAAGGTCTGCAATAAGGAGATGCCTTCTTCATTTGAAATACAGAGAGTTTACAACGAGGTGCAAACCACTGGTTACACTCAAGAATATAAAGGCCAGGTTAGAGTTTCCCACAAACCAACTAAAAGCGTCACAGAAAACAATGGAAACACAAAACCGAGACGAACTTGTTCCAGAATGATGAGAGAGAGAAGTATGGATATGGAAAAGGAGAGAAACTGCTAAAGCATACAGGGTGAGTTTGCTCCAGATGAAGGGGTTACCATTACTACCAGGAGCCTCTCCTCAAGGGTAGATTTGGGGGTCATGATGTCTGCAAGATGCCGTGCTTAATTTTAGATGCTTTGAGCACCAGAGCAACACAAGTTGACTGAATGTATTCAAGAGAAGGCCGATAACAACACAACATTAGAACTGAAAGACTTTGCAACTCCCTAAAACCCCAAATCCCTCAAAGATTGGCCAAAAGAGAAACAAATCTATATTTTTGATTTGGGGTTGAACTGGCCCTTTAACAGCTGATCGCCTAGCAACGCTTCAAACAACCTGAGGTGGGCTGAAGCTATAGGTTAGCTCATGAAGACTGTTTTAATCGTTCAGAAACGACTGTAATTTTATAAATAATGGAACGAGAACTGAACGAAGAGGAACTACAGGACCTGTTTGCGTGGATAGATAAGATACCGCTGTCCCGGCCCAAAAGACACATCACAAGAGACTTCAGCGACGCAGGTAGTAAAGTTAGCGTAGCAGTCCTCATGGAGGTGCTAACCAAACAATCAAGCAGTAACAGCAGGAGTAATATGATCTGCATAGCTCCATGTCTCCAGCTACGGTAATTTTATTTATTTGTGAACTGACTAAGTTTCTCTTTGAACCTTAGTGATGGCTGCTGAGGTGGTAAAATATTTCTTCCCCAAGCTTGTTGATCTGCACAACTATGTTTCTGCAAACTCCACACAGCAGAAGCTCAGCAACTGGAACCTGCTCAACAGGCAAGACATCACTGTTTTATGTGTGTGTGTGTTTTTGTGTGTGTGATTCTTCTGAATCTGGTGGATTGAATGACTACATCCCAGCCAGAGAAAAACACTCTCCACAGCTGAAAAACATCACATTTTAACAGCCTGCCACAAAAACTTGTACACAAGCTACAAAAAAGTTAAAAAGCTAGATGGCTAATTAATATCTCTTAATAGGAATGACAGACATTGCCTAATGTTTTTCCCATCCAAATAAAATTTTTCCTGGGCCTCCACATCTGGTCCTGCGGACATATCCTACTTACACCCACTCACTCCATCCCTCGCCACTGATATGGCACAAAGCCAGCTTCAGATTTATGGGAATTTGCTGAAAACATTTTGGCTCCTATGTTGTGTCTCATCAGTTAAATCACACCGAGTCTGCTGATACTACTGTGCATAGTTCTAGGTATTAGAAACATGTGTTTTTATTTATATGAGGATAGGAAGGTATTTTCCAAGCTGGACTTCCATGTGCCTGAGGAGACACTGAAGAAAATTGCACAGAGCACCACAGGAGCAATAGTGCCTGTCCTGAGCACCCTCAGGGAGAAGATAGACAAGAAACTGGAGTACACCACCAACAACATACTGGTGTGTAGTGACACACACGGTATAGGTCTTTTTTTTTTTGTCTATTTGAATGCAAAATATGAATTACTGCATGCTTGTCCATGTTAATCTAACTACAGTGGATATATATTTTGTTTTATAAATTTAGGATATGGAATATTATGACACCAGGAACCAGGAGAAACCTCATGAAGGTACAGTCTTCTGCATTTGATGCCATATTTGGCTTTGCATCACATCACACGATAGTGATGTAGGTGTTGCTGGAAGTTACAAACTGTGATGAAGTCAGTAACATTAAGTAAATTATGGAAATAAAACAGCTGAATTAGGATAAATGCAATGACTTTATATTGGCCTTATGCATGTTGCAGCATGTGTCATAATGATAGTGTAGTTTGTGCAGAATATCAGCTGAAACAGTTGTTTTTTATTTAACTGAAGCCAAACAAAACTGAAGCTAAGATGTGCTTTATTTAGCACAGGAAGTGAGTTTGGTGTTATTTTAGACTTTTTTTTGTTAATGCAGCTATATCTGCCGGTCAACTCCCAAACACCAAGTCAGCATATTCAGCATTCAGCAAGGTGTTTTTTTCCCCCTCTTTATTTGGTTTTTGTTTAAGGGAGCAGTTTAGTGACTGTTCATCGCTGTTTTTGTCACTGAAATGAAGCGTCTCCAAGATCTTCTCAGGCCCAAATTAAGTGTAATCTATCCCAGAGATAGCAGTGACCAATCAGAAACACAAAGAAACGTCCATTTGAAGGAATCGGGGAGAACTGATTAGAAGAAAATTCCACCACCCTAAAGGAGTGAACTTGTTTCCCACACCTCATCCGTCCCTATCAAAGCTGGCCAGTGCCTCCACCCTCTGCTCTTTCCTCTTCCGTCTACACTCGCTCCCGCCATCAGACACATGACTCAGGTTCTCGTATCAGTTTCCACATGGCTCTTATCGCTGGCCTGAGCTCAGCACCGTTGACTTAAAGCCTGATATTTTTTTCCTTTATCTACTAATCTTACTTCAGCGTTTCACCCTCTTTCTGCTATTGGTCGTCACCCTTTCTGCCACCAAGCCTTATCTCTTTTACTCAGCTGTATATATTCTTTTAGTCATTGTGTTTTGTTCGCATCATAGTTTGTAAAACAAGACACTTTTTTTCTTCAGAAATTCAACAGACTGAGATAAGACTTCTAACTCAGCTGGAGGAATTGAAAAAAGATGAAAAGAACAGGCAGAAAAACAGGTATGACCAAAAAACCACTGCTTTTAATTATAATGCAATGAATCGCAAGAACATTTAAAACAAAAATAATAGCCTGTCCATTCTTTTTTTCATGGTACAGTAAAGTGGAGCGTGCAGTAAAGTTTTATTCAGACATGGATCCTGCTTTCCAACAAATGCTGAAGGAAAAAGAAAAAGCAATTATGTCTTTGATGGAGACTGTGGAGGTAAAGTCTGCATGCAGACATGCATGAATGCAGGAAACACTCTGCTAAAGTGTGTGTGTGTGTGTGTGTGTGTGTGTGTGTGTGTGTGTGTGTGTGTGTGTGTGTGTGTGTGTGATGGAGAAAAATATTTAGGAGTGTGTGTTAGGCATGTGTAATGTCCTGTGTCAGCAGTGGCGAGTGAGTCAGTATCTGCTCAGCGGATATAACCCTTATTTTTCTTTTCCATCTGTGGTCACATCTGCATGTTTAGAGAGAAGCAGAAGGATGACACAAACGTGCAACTTCTCCTTTCACCGCACTATGAAGTTTTCAGAAGCCTTCAAAGAAATATCCTCTCTTTAGCCTCATCCCTCTTTTCTTTTTCTTTTCTTGGTTTTCTTGGTCGTGTATGTTTGCAGATCCTCCAGATGAAAGTGAACAAGCTGGAACATCTGGTTCACTTGAAGGATGTCCGTATTCAAGATCTGACACAGCATCTGGAGACGTACAAAGCAAGAGGCAACACACACTGAAGCAGCTGTGAAACTATACAGACAGAGAAATGTCTGTAGCAGTTCTGATATGTAAACCTGTATTTTGTAAAAAAGAAATATTTGTTAAGGCAAATGATCATCTTATCTAATCCCACCAGCTAAAACTGTCACATCTGTTGAAATGCACAAGGGAGATTCCAGATGTGAACTTTTTAAATCCTTGTTTTGAAAAAGAAAAAAATGGAATTTTATCCCAGAACATAAAATGTACACACTTCAGGATGCAGAAATGTCTCTTTTTCTTTCTTTAATAACATGATCCACTGCCTTATATCTTGAATCTTCTGTGTTTATGCTTCATGACCCTTTTATATGAAATCATGACTTGTTGAATATAAATAGTTGCTTCTTTGTGAAAGGTATCTCTGGGCTTCTTTTAACAGCCCATAATTTCTGACTGTCAGCTTCTAAATAAAGCCACAAATCCCCATTCACAATTGTCTCACTAAATAAGAGGGCAGTGTATCAAATAAGCCAAGTCGTGGGTTAAAGCCAACAAAACAAAACTATATATGGTGTTGCATTTGGCGGCAGCCACTTCCTTCCTTCACTCATTTTTGGTAAGTTTCCTGCTTTTGTGTAAGTGTGAAAACCAGACCTTAGTTAACCAGAACTTAGTTAATAACTTCACTTCCACTTTATCGAGCATTTTTTTTTTTTTTAGAATTACTGTGACATCAAAGTCAGGAGCATTGACGAAGTCGTGACACAGCAGCAGCAGACCGCAGCCCAACGTCTGCTTTTCAGATATAAAGTTCATTTCACTTTCTTGAGGTTTTTCTGTAATGCCAAATGAGAGAGAGATGTCCCTCATTATTTTACTTTATGTGGGCTTCGTTGGCGTGAGAGGCATGTGACCCCGTGAGCTGTACCAGGAGCAGCTGATCATCTCCAGCTGCCTGCCAATGTGACTGTCATGCTCACAATCATGCCACCTCATTAATCATCATTATCACTTAATTAATGACTGAGAAAAACAAACACCTAATGAGTTTACAGTTACACTTATTTTAGATTTAGATTTTAGTTACTCCTTTTTTCACAAGGGGTCGCCACAGCAGGTAGCTC